ATTTTGTTTTTGCTATGCCATCAAATACAAATACCAAGCTCAATACAGAATCTGTCACACCACAATTCTCAACTTGGAAACTGTGAAATATAAATTAACACAATTTTCAAAAAGGTAAAGCTAGTGTCTTCTAAAATGAAAAACAGATTACATTGTTTTCTTCAGCAGTCAGACAAATTACTAATTCTCTCTGTTCCTGTCTACTTTGTAAGGCATAAGATTAAATATATTAGATATATATATATTTATATAAAAGAAAAACACTACTTAAAAGTTAAACTTGAAAGCAATTTTTAGTTTAACAGGATAGTAATAGGACAAGAAGTGGGACATGTCTTGGTGATGTGCATTCACAGCCCAGAAAGCCAGCCATGTCCTGGGCTGTATCAAAAGCAGTTTGGGCAGCAGGTCAAGGGAGAGTGTTCTGTCCCTCTGCTCAGACCCCACTTGGAGTGCTGCACCCAGCTCTGGGGTCCCCAACACAAGAAAGATATTCAGTTGTAATGAGTTCGGAGGAAGACCAAGATGCCCAGATGTCTGGAGTACCTCAGTTGTGAAGACAGGCTGAGAGTTCAACTTGGAGAAGAGAAGGCTTTAGGGAGACCTTAGCGCACTTTCCAGTGCCTAAAGGGGGCCTCAAAGAGAGTTGGAGAGGGACTTTTTACCAGAACATGTAGTAAAAGGACACAGGTAACAGCTTTGAACTGAAAAGATGGTAGGTTTAGATTGGATGTTAGAAAGAAATTACGTGAATTAGAAAGAAATCATGTGAGGGTGATTAGACACTGAAACAGTTTGCCGAGGGAAATTGTGGATGCTCCATTCCTGGAAGTGTTCAAGGCCAGGTGGACAGTGCTTTGAGCAACCTGGTCTAGTAGGAAGTGTCCCTTCCTACTAGAAGGGACAGGGGAGTTTGGAACCAGGTGATCTTTAAGGTTAGCCCAAACCATTCTATGATTAATTTATTTATATCTCAGCTGGAGAACAAACCTGGTACAGGCAGGGATTAGCAATAATGAGTGAAAGAAATTTTCACTGCTTTCTACCCATTCCTACCGAAAAAGTTAAATTGATAAATCTATAAAAGGAATGCATTTCAAACTGCTCTCATAAACTATATAACACTGGAATAAAAAAAATTTGCAAAGATTTAATTTAGACAATGGTAAAACAGCAGATGATTCCAGAGTGTTATGAAAGATTAAATTTCACCAAATAGAAATTACTGTGCTGAGCTGTTCCGACTGTTTGAATGACAGCAGCACTGGAAAAAAACCAAAGTCTTTTACATTCCCTCTGAAGGATACAAAAGATATTTTTACTCTTGTTAAGAAATTTTATTTTTACATACATATTAAGCACTGACAAGGCAGTGCCTCTCATGGGACAAGAAATCAGGACTAAGAACACAGAGAAACAGTCATAAAGTAGCAAATCACCAAGGATAATCTTATTTTCACAGGAGGTGTAAGATCAAAAAAAAATGTGCCACCACCAACTTCTGTAAACTTCATATCATAGAGCTGTACTTCAAGTTAGTTGGTGTTTTTCCCCAACACTTTTCTTGAGAAGCTTTTCCATTAATCTCCCTGGTAGCACAACTACAACTTTTCAATTTCCACCCAAAATTTCTTATTGGCAAATTCATTCCTAATTTGTTTTTTTTTATATATACACATGTAGGAGGCGTGTCCAAGGGGCAGGGGAACCAAGGGACATGCACAGGGACAGACAGCCCCATTAGTTAGAAGGTCACATGGTTTTAGGGGATAAAAGGGGGAACGAAATTCAAATAAAGTCTCTTTGATTTCCACCTCACAAAGAGCGTACATCATTCTTTATCATATAAAGACAGCCATCCACATATACACATATTCTAGGCTATATGAGGCTGTAATAATCTTTTATTTCCTCACTGATGTCCTATCAAGAAAAACCTTTCTCAGCATTTGTTTTGCTGAACTGAATAAGCAAAGCTCTTTCTGTCTTTCCATAAGGCAGACTCTATTCCGTTTTATCATCTTACTATTACTTATTCATTCCTAGTCTAGTCCAAATTTATCTCTTGAAAAAATTATTATTATCATTCCCTGCATTATTTCAAATAAAGAATTACCAGAGTATTGATTTTCACCTTTATGTACTGGAAATATGCCCACAGTCGAGGGCACACTCTTGTCTTCTAAGAGCTACATCACACAGCCAATGCACAGACAATCTGTGACCAATTAATACACTCCAATACTTTACCTCCTTATTGCTTTCATTTGGTGAGTCCCCAGGTGATAACAGAAATTCTTGCCAACAGTCTCCAAGTGCACACCCATATAGCACATAAATCACACAAAGCACTTTCTTAACATTCTTCACAAGTTCTAATCCAGCTTCAGTTTGAGCAGTTTTAATTGCCATTCCACATTCTAAAAAAAAAAAATTATATTTGCTGATCAGTAATTTTTAAATTCCTTTCTGTTCTTTTCTATTCCTTGAAGATCTGTGTAAAATACTTATTTAATTATCTATCCATTTCATTCTAGCTTTATTTGTGAAAGCATTTTCCCTGCTTGGATATAAATTCTTGTTACTTTAACAAAAATTAACTTCACTTTCAGATATCCTCTCCAAATTCCTTAGCAGTTCAGACTGCATGAATTTCTTTGGCTTATCTAAGCTCAGTCTTCAGTTTACTGGAAGACACACTTATGTTTCTCTTTACAAATAATCTAAAATGAATCAACTTATTCAAAAGTCCTGATTAAAATTTACAATGATTGCCCTAACTGTAATGTCCTTATTATTTCCACCAACTAAATATAAAATAGTAAAAAACTCTCTTCAAAGGGTTGTTAATGTAATTTTACATGTCTATTTGGTGTAAAACACTTAAGTTCATCCTTGAAAATCCCTGGAATTCCCTCTCCCATGTGAGCTCCACAATTCTTCGGGCATCTTTTCCATCCCATATAGTCCCATAGATCACAAATTCTTTGAAGCCATGCCACCATGGAGAAAAAGAATATGTGCTTTTATTTTTAGCTGGATAACTAGCATGTTCTCCCAAGTTATGCGAAATGGGAGATAAATAAGCAAGTTGAAGAGAGAAGTGGCTTTAGGTCTTTTTTCCATTTTAGTTTTACTTCTAGGAACTAGCTCCCAAAGGTGATAAACAATCAGATTCACTGACTTACTTTATTTTTCTTCTTTATGGTGTTTTCTTTTATCCTCTCTCAGGACAGGAAGATTCCTTGACCAGCAGGGTTCTGAAGCACAGAAAAGATCTCTACATTTAACACAGTTCTAGATTCCATTCCAGGGAATAAGCAATCACAAGCTAAAACTATATTAAAAATTCCTTTATTACATCTAGTCCTAAGTGACTTAAAAAATGTTTTCCCTAACTGTATTCCACCCTATCACCACACAGAGTAATTTCAGATGGATTTGATTGGTTTTCAAAAAGAAGTAAAAGGAAAACAAATGTTTAGTTAATTGATGTATATTTTATATGGGCTTTAGATTTCTTGTAGAAGTACGAATTTATGATTTCACAAATCAAATACAAACCATTACAAATTCATTACCAAGGATAATCTTCTTTTCATAGAAAATGTAAGATTAAAAAGGAAATAAGTGCCACCACTTCTGTAAACTTCCTATCATACCGCTGTACTTCAGATTAGTTGGTTTACAAATCAAATATATATACAAATCAAATATAAGCCATTATCTTCAAGTGAAAGGGAATGAAATGTCATTTCTTACAATTTACATTGTAATTGGAAAAGCTTTTCAATGATGTGCTGAATTGAAAGTCAGGCTGTATTTTCAATAGGATAATGAAATACAAAAATACGATAATTTCCATACAGTAAAAATATTGTTCTTTATGGCTATTGTAGTGCCTACTGTTACCAAAGTTTATCCAGCAATTAATCCCCTAGTGAAGGGTGAAACAGGCTGGTGTTGCTCACTGGGCTTCTCCAAATTACAAATCTGTTTAAGGGTGCAAGTTGCTTAGGAAAAAAAAAAAAACCAAACCAAACCAAAACAAAATGAGTAGTGGCAACAATAATTTTCCTCCTGTGCTCAGTATCAAGTCCCGAAAGTTCTACCCAACAATTTCCGTTTCTTCAGTCAACTGTTTTAATGTTTCCTCTTTGGCCATTTTCTAAAATATTTTCCTCAAGAACAGATGACCAAATAATAGATATGCAGGTCTTGGAGATGATCCCAGCTAATGGAGCAGCCTAATGGGTCAAAGAATGAGGGATTACAAAACTGGGTTAATGCCTGGGGTGTTCATTAGTGCATTACTGAATAGCTGCAGAAAATGTAACCTTTTCTATTGAAGGTGACACATTTTGGTAAAGAAAGGAGCTCTACAGGAATGACTATCAGGTCATCCCTTTTCCTAGGCAGCTACATCAACACTGTTGGAAAGGAAACAATGCATTCCCGGTGAATATTGGAAAACATACCACTTGTTAGAGATGCTCATAGAGTGCCTGTGAACTGGATATACTGTCCATGTGCCATGAACATGAAAACAGTATATGCACAAATCAATACAGCCCTGCAGTGTGTTTCAGTGTTCAGTTATGCCCTGCATACAGCCTTCAGTATAGTGTTCCTGATATACAATCCCTGTCACAGAACAGCAAAGATACTCTCTAGTTTCTGACTTGCTGTGTGCCAGTTTGGCACTGATCCTTTAAATGCTCACCATGATTTAAGGGGTTATCCCAGTAAAAAGCATATCATATATACCTTACCTTGAACTTAATTTCTGCATCAGGCAGATGCAGGGGTTATACATTGAAATGCAAGGAAAATCACAGAAATTATATACCATAAATGTAGGAGAAAGAGTGAGTACCCAATCACCCCCACAGGCCAACAGCTGAACGGACTCTAATTTTATTTTCCTCAGTAATCTTCCAGCCTTCCTTACTCTCTGTTTGAAGTGCAGCAACCATCAACAGACCGTGAGCTACGAGAACATGTTATCTCCCGTTCTAGTCACAGTATTGCCGCAAGAGGGCAAAACGCAAGAAGGCAAAACACCACGGAGGTGCAAAAACTGCCCCTGGGACTTGCCAGCTCGTGTCCCTTCGCTGCCGCGGTACAGACGCTCACGAAGGGGCCGCCGGGCTGCCTTTCCTTCCACGCAGTCCTCCGTGACGCGCAGAAATTCCCTACAACGATTCATAAGTTTCCTTTGTTCCCCCACCTCACTTCATTCAAAGCTTCCTCCTTTTTCTTGCTGCCCATCAAAACAGTCAGGGGCTACTGACGATACCCAGCACTACCGGCTGGCTCGCACCTGCCGGTGTCTCCGATGTCCTTGGTCCCTCTCTTTGACTGTACCATGTCGGGCCTGAGAGAATGCATTTTTTTGTCCCAGTGTCTATTGAAAAGTTTTGGTTTAGTTCCCCCAAATCCCTCTTCTCCACGGTCGCAGCCTGACGCCAGGGCCGACCCCACCCCGGCTCCATCCCTGCCATTCAGGAGGCGACGGGACGTGCCCCCTCAGGGCTCGGCAGGGCGCGGGCACTGCCCTCCTCCCAGCGGCAGCAGGGCTAGCCCTCAGCCGGCGGAGTCCCAGGCTCCCGGGAGACGAGGGACGTGGCAGCTGCCGGGGAGGACAGGGTGACTCCCTCGGCCGGGCAAGGGCCGCGCTCCCGGAGCGCTTTCCGCCGCCGTTTGTCTCCCGTCTCTTCCCGTTCGCAGGAGCAGCTGCTACTGCGCAACCCCATCCCCGCCCGCTCCAGCGCCGCCACCTCCTCTGCGCTGCCCCGTGAGCTGAGTGGGGCAGGGACGCGCCGCCGCTGCCCGTGGGGCCGAGCCGGGCCCTGGCTGGGCGGGCGCGGTTGCAGAGTGAGCGCGGAGGTGTGGGGACACCTGCCCGGAGCGCCCGAGTCGGGCAGACCCCAGCGCCCGCCTGAGGGGGCGCCCGGCGCGGCGGCGGCAGCAGCGCCGCTCCCCACGGAGCCCCTCAGCACCGCCGCCCCTGGGCCTGACGGGCTCAGCGGTGTCCGGGCACCGGCGGGCGCGGCCGCGGGCAGCTGCAGCACCTGCGGCGGTGCCCTCTGGTGGCTTGCGGCCAGGAGCTCGCGTTACGCTGGGACAAGGAGCCGTGTTCCTGCTTGTTTCATCCTTTGTTTTGAGAAACGGGTAATGTTTGTACGTGCAAGAGCATGAAACAAGCAGTGCTGGTCTCATGGGATCTCAGGGAAGAAAGCGGCTAGGCGCCCATCCCTTGTGTCTGTAGACCCGCTGGGTCGGTTCCCTGTCACAGCTATTTATACACTCCACATCCCAACTGTGCCTGAAGACCTGTCGACTTCAGCATCATGCAGCAGGCGATTTTAGCAAGTTAAGCAATACCTTGCAAGTAGCATTCTTTCCTTTTTTTGTTGTTGTTGTTTTTTTGGTTAACTGTCATTTAATTACATGGGCTAGTCTTGCTACAAGAGTATCACACACTGTCCATCCTCTGTAATAAGCTACTGGTCTAAGATATGGAAGCTGATCACACAACAGTAGCAGAATTGGTAGAACAGTTAATAGTCGAGAAGGAGCTGGCACAGGAGCAGATGGCACAGCTCTTCATGCATCTTGCTGCTTTTCTTCTTTGGCAGCCTGGAGACAGTTCTTTAAATTTTCTTTTCCGTCTTCCCATATAAGTGCTGCTTTATTGAGAAACACTGTTTAAGAAGGAGTTTTTTAAGTGTTTCTTTGAGCAGGAATAATTTGGAGATGAGAAATCAGCAACAAGTTTTTATGTGTACCTTAATGTCTTCCATGAAGGTTTCTCTGTCTGGTGGAGTGTCAGCTTCTCCTTTTCTGTAAGCAGGAACTTATGGTATGGACTCTTGTTTGCTAGGACAGCTCATCTAGCTTCTCTCTGTCATGCTTCTTCAAAGCTGACACTCATCTACTTTTTTCAAGACTCTCAGTAATTAATACTTAAGTTTCTGTGCCCTAATTTCTCTCTGCAACCTAATTATTATTGTAATTTTGATGGCTGCAGTGTTCTGAAAGGATCACAGGTAATTTTTGAACAAAAGACTTTGATAACCACTTGTGCTACTGTACTCATTTTCTCATTTTTATGTATTTGGTAACGAAGGGCGAGATAGTTGAAATTCTAGATAAAATTTCAACACAAATTGAGAGGGTTTTCTTTAGTTCTTCGCTTTGAACATTCAAAAATTTTTAATTGGAGTTTTTTAGCAATCTTTTTGAAGAAGAAATGTCCAAAGCTTAATACATTATGCAATTTGAATTTTACAAGAAATTTAGATATAAGTAGGCATCCTTCATTCTTTTTTTCCCTTGAAAATTTATATGATCTGTTTCGTTTCCTCAGTGCTAGTGAAGCTTCACAGAGTTCGTCATCCATCTTGTATTCAGCAAGAATGGCTGACCCATTTGAAAGAGTTCACAAAATAACAGTGACAGTTGGAGACCAAGAAAGCATGATCTATGGGGAAAGTGATAAAGATTTATTTAGCTCAAAGACAAGTTTGAAGGGGAGATAGTATATAATAAGTGTTTAAAGTTGTTAAATGTTCTTGTACAGAAGAAAAGGAGCCTTTTTGTTCTCTGCATTCACAGAAAATAATGGAAATTACTGGAAAATATAGTTTAGGTGCTAGGGAAAGAGTTAATAAAAGATAAGAAGGTAATGAAATAGTTTTGGAAAGTTGTGAAATCTTCATCAAAGATCTCTAAAAGAAGGCTAGACAAATGATTTTCAAAAAAGGGAACTGGGAATGACTTGGAAAAGAAGTGTTAGGACTCTGGTACTGGTTTTACTGGTCCTGAATCATAGGAAAGGATTTAAAGGTCATCAAACAAAATCCATCAAGGAGCACAGGCTTTTTAACACTCAGATATGTCTACATGCTGTTTTGGAGGCAAACATGAACTCACACAAAGCAACTGATCTGGAAGCACTACAGACAAAACACACATGGCCCAGTGCCAAGCTGAAAAGGCCCACTCAGGGTGACACTGTTTTCTGAGTTCCAAATTGAAAACTTCTATCTTTATGCTGGCACTTTTTGCTGAAAGACAGATCACTTGAACTGCATTTAACTACAAACCCACTTCAAAATCCTATGTTTATATGCTTTTATTTGAGTTCCAATTGAAGTTATGTGCAAATAAAAATAGAAGTAAATGTTGATGTGATAAATCAGAAACATCTCATTTGCTGTTCTCTAACAGAAACCTCTGCAACGTGTTAACATGCATTTGTAGTGTTTCTTCTGTCCTTTGTAAGAACTGCAAAAGGCACATGCATGCAGAATTTTAATAGATCTACAGGAATTTTCCTTTTTAAATACTACTGGGCCAGAAAAACACTGCAACCTCCTGTAACATAGTGTTAAAAAGTATTCACTTGAGCTGGATTTTTTTCCATGTAGTTCACTATCAGCATTCTTGGTTACACAAATTACAACCTGTGCTATAGACTCATTTCTCTTATGTAAGTGTAGTTTTAAATCAACAGTATATGCTGAACTAAGAACCTTTCAAACCATACAAATAAATTAGAAAAAAAAAAAAGACCTATTTTGCAGTAAAAACCGCATGCTTGGAAGATATATAGATAAGAGGGATGTTCAAATCACTTCAAATGTCAGTCATCCTTAGTGAGCCTTTGTTTGCATTACTTTAACCTTGTCTTTTAAATATAGCAAGTGCATTTATTCATCAGTCCTTTATTTGATTGTTGAGGGGTCTAACACCGAGTGGTTTTTACCCTGCTCCAGTGAGCATTATCAGCCTCAAATGAAGCAGCTGTTCAACAGATAGCAAAGCGTCTTTTTCTCTAAGGGGAATAGAATGTATGTAGAGACTTCAGTATACCATTTGAATACACAAATGCAGCATATAAAGATATGTAAGGTGTATATCACTAAGTGTAGACCATTTCTAGAATGTATTTGAATAGATGAGGATATAGCTGTACCTGAAAACAATCTCTGAGCTAGCCTTGTGCATAAAGTCTTTAAGTCCTTTCTGGTTGGACTTGATTTGGGGCTCTCACTGGGCTGTTGTAAAATTAATTAATTCTAGAACTGTGTTAAGAAGCTATGAAGAATTAATTAGAACTGGTTTAAGGTGTTTGAGTGATATAAAGAAATTCATAACTGATAATCATTCTTTCACTACCCTATGATGCCTAATGTTATCATAGCAAAGTGATACAAAGTACTTGTAAAATTTATCAGAGTGTGGATTTACTTTTAAAAAAATCATTCGTAGAAAGGTTCATAATTTTATGCATTCCAGTTTTGAAATGTGTCTGGTACAGAAAGCAGCACTGACACAAGTAGGGTAGTAAAAACTTGAGAGATATCCTGCTTAAGTTAAAACATTTGAATCATCACAGTTTGTCATGAACAAGACGGGTTACTAGTATAGATTCTTACCTTTTACCTAAGTGTATCTTCCCTGGTCTTCTGCTTGGCCACCTTATGTTAAAATACATTAATGGATTCTAAATAAAAATTTATTTTAATTTATTGTGATATTGCAAGAAAATATTTGATGTTTGCCTTAATTTCACTTTTTAAACCTAGAATGGATCTGGTTGTTAAAAGCTGCATGTACACTGGGCCAGGAGTCTAAATTATGCACACATTTCTGTTCATCCAGTATTCCAGACTCTTTAAATTTGTAGAAAAAGTAGAAAATCTGTTGATTGAAGACCTCAGACATAAATGAAAAATAATGAGTAACCTCTCTGTGTGTTTCATAGTCTTTGATTCAGAAAACAAAGCAGAAAAAGGAAAGGTAGAAATAGGGAAAATGCTAAAGTCTATATGACTCAGTAAGGCAAACTGCTCTTCAGACAGCCTGTAGTGAAGGCCTCAGACTTTCTTTCCTTAGTGAAAACTAAATAAAAATTGAAAGTTAAAATAGTTGCAAAATCAGATGTTTGGACTGGTAGAACAGAGATTCTCTTGATACTGATTTTTAGTTTTATACTCCAGCTTCCCCATCAGTGAACACTGTGCACTTTAGCACTGTGAATAAGCATAACTAGTATAGGTCCTTCTTCGCAGGGAGGTCGATACAGGTCTGTGAAAAAGTCTGTTGCCACCAGTAGTGTTGATCCTTCTACACAAAAAAACTTGTAAGGAGCAAGCCTCCAGGGGCATATTGTAAAAGGAGTCTTTGTCTTGCATGGTTTTATGTTGGTATTCAGCTTTGTTATGTGGTATTAGATGTGAGTATGCTTATTTAACGTTTAGGATAGCAATGATTCATTTCTATGGACATATTCTGGGAAAAAGGATGTTCCTTGTCTTTTGTCTAAATATTAGACAGGTTTTTTGCTTGTTTGTTTGTTTGCTTTTGTTTGATTTGGTTTTAGTTATTTTGTTGTTGTTGCTTTCTAATTCTTTTATGCAACCTAGAAATAAAACCAACTGTGTCAGTTTACTATTAAAAGCATCTAGGTGGTATGCTATACAAGATCAAAGAATGTTTGTGAATAAAGTATGTCTCTTCTGCAGTGATGAGAATACTTATAGACTTCAAGGTAACAAGAGACAAGTGGTGGTGTCAGCAAGTGACCAAATTGTATGTTTTGTGGTCTTTACAAATTGACATACAGAACCAAAATATCACAAGCTGAAATAATGAATAACCAAGAGGCTGATGTTCTGCGTTGCTGGAGTTGTAGAAAATAAATAGCAAATTCTGTTTGCCTTGCCAAATGTAATGGAGAAGAACTATCTGAAGTAAGTATACCTTCTTTAGAGTGAGTTTGTAAGTTTCTCCAGTGCTGTTTGTTTTAAATGAAGGAGAAGTATTAGCCTCACTTTGTAATTAATCTTGTATGTCCAAAGTATGGTTTACCCTGCCAGGCTAAAATACAATTTAGTAATTTATATCTTCTTTATTAAAATACACAGAAAGATAATTATACAGAATAAAACTATGACAGAGTATTTCCTACTGGTTTATGATGGAAGTTAGTAATCAAAAGGACCTAGAGTCTTTCCAAATATGCCAAAAAGACTGTGCTTATGTCTGGTGATCTTGAATCAAAGTGAAGAAGCAAATAGAAAAGAAGGTCTTGGTGTTTTTTATTAACACATTAGTAATGCAACAACATTCTTTTTGGCACTGGAGAAGGTTATAACCAGTAGATGCAGAAACAAACTTATTTTTAAGATCATTTTTAATTAGTATTGTTAATAAACCCGATTTTAATCACTCCACTTACAGAGCTTGAGGCCCTGGAATAATTTTCATGCTTTATACTTGAGGGTGTTTTTTGTGAATGGTTTGAAGTGATTTTTAGGGAGGGATGTGAGCATTGCAACTCATTTAATGAAAAAAATGTATCCACTTTTTTAGTAGTGGAAAGGAAGTATCTTTGTCCCTGCCCCATGGTGACGCTTTTAGTTGTGAGTGGAGATCCACCATCATTGACTGAAGTAGCTCTTTCTCTGATTATGTAGACAGAAGATAAAAAAGTGTGTTTTAACACTATATCTGAAGGTGTTGGGAGGCAAAGATAGTACTATGATGAGAAGAATGATATTTTCAGTATGTTGACTTCCTAATGAATTTTAGACCTTCACTCAAAGACACAGCTGAAATATGAGTAAAAAAGAAAAATTGTAGAACAGATTTTAAAACAAATTTTGAAGTTACAAATATAGTGTAAACACTTTAAATTAGAATTATATCCAAATTGAAGTACAGGTACTCTCCACAGATAGGAGGGAGACAATAGTGTAGACATGGTAAATGGACCTATCTGTCTGCTGTTAATACTTGGAGAATTTCTAAAAGCTTCTATCTTCTGTGTATAGTCCCACTTTCAATTTTTATCAGAATGAAACTTATATTCCATAATATAGGAGCCTGCATTTTCCATATTCATAAAATTTAACAACTGCTTTTAGGACTTTCTCACTAGAATTTCCTTATATTTTCAGCCATCTTTATTACTTTAGTTAGGTAATTGTTTTTATTTTAGTACGAGTTAGTGAAATGCTATAGGGTGTTAGATTTATTTTTTTTCTATTTAGTTGATCACACTGTATCAGTAAAAACTCTAAAGTTGCTAAGACTATCTGATTTCTCAGCTAGTTATTCTAAACAGCATTAGAAAATTAATGTGTGTCCTTTGTGCAGTACTGATCACAGTCTTCTTATAAACTGTAACTTACATTTTTCTGATTTTACTGGAAAATTATGCCCACTGATAGCGCTTCTGAAATCATTTTACAAATATTCTTGGAAGAGCTGTAATTGCATGCTCTCTGTTCTTGTAAACAAAACAAAACCACCTCCAGACACCTACATCTCTACTGTGGAGTCTGTCCAATGTCCTTAGATTTAGAAATAGAGAATTATTGACAGCATCTACCTGATTTTTAGAATAAAAAATGCCTAAACATATTTGAGTTTAATCTTTTGTTAATATTTACTGAATTTGGGAAGCTGACTTCTGGCTGTATTCAAAGAAAAAGATCTCACATGAATGTTAAATATCAATACAGTAATTTTTTTTTCAACAGACGTCACAAACTTCAGCTGCTGCTCAGGACTCTTGCAATGTGAACTTAGATACCATTCCAAAGTGGGTGAAATGTGTCATTGAAAAGGTAGATTTTTTTTTTTTCCATCTTTACATTCAAAATGTGAAATAGCTAAGAGGAACAAGTTTCAAGAACACTTTTCTGCCAAGGTCTATTGTATGTTACAGATATCTTATAGCTGAGGGAATTCTTCTCAGTAACTTCTATCACTACCATTTACAGATGTTTTTTTCTCCCTCTAAATGCTGATTTCTTTTGTTTTGTTTTTAATGTATGCAGAAATGCTACAAGTGATAAATTCTGTTTCCTGCTCCTTTATAGATGAGTGTATTGTTTGTCCAAAAAACTGTTATGGGCACCTCTGCATTTGTCAATGCTTTATATTATATTTATTATCTAGGTTTTGGGGTTTGCTTTGTCTTGCTTGCTGTATCTTGTAGTACTAACATATATCTTGACAGTGACAGTAATGAGGCAGAGCAAGGCCTGAGAAACGAATGTGATATTAGCAGAACGAGAATTAGAGAGTAAATTTAGAATCCATGCTCTGAGCAAAAGCATAGAGAACTAAGTCTTAGGAACAGCAGAGATAATAACTCATTAAGGAATGCAGGACACTGACACAAAGGACATAAAGTAAGTACACAGGAAAACAGAGAGAACCAAAAATGCTAACATACACATAAAATAGGCATATGGAGGGGAGACAGAGGAAGATAAGGAAAAAGAGATGAGCCAAGGCCTAGGTACTCTTGCCAAATATCAGGAACTTCTGCCAAATGCACAAGGAAACCATCCAAAGTAGGGAAAAGTCAAAAGTTTATGGCGATGAAGAGGAGGAAAAAGACCCTTCAAGAGGCTGAAGAACAGGAACTACCACCAGGTTTCTCCCCAAATTGAAGACCGTGCGCGTAACTCCGTCTTAACTCCTCCTGTTATGAATATTAAAACTAGATGTTGCAATATTATGAATATTCATGAATAATGATGCAATTGCTTAGCAAAAATTGTATAATAGGATCCAGATGTTCATACTACTTTGAAGCTCTTTTGTCCAGTGTGAGCTGGGAGCCTCCCCAGTGTTGTATTGCAATAAATGCCTCACTACTCAAAGACCTAAACTCTGTCTCTGAGTGGTTTCTCCGCACCTGTTTGGGGCATAAAATTGGCATCAGTAAGAAACAGGTCTCCTCATAAAACTGGACTGAGGGTTTGTTAAGAGATCGGTTTTTGGAATATCATGTGTTGTCTTTTATACTTAATGTGCTATTATGTCATATGAATAGAAAGTAGATACCATCCTGCAAACTAAAAGGTCTGATGACAAGCCAAGTGTCACTGCTTTTGAGTTTTAACTGCTCATTTGAGATTACAAACCATCTCCTAACTTTCCTGTTGTACTGATTGCTTCAGTTGAGTATTTTCTCTAAGTTGTTTTAGGTCTGGAAGTTAATGTTTTTGCATAGATATTAATAAGCAGAAACAGTGCTGTTCTTTTGCCCTACAGATTTTCTTTGATGAGTCTTTGATTGTGATAAGCAAGTGACATCTGCATTCTTTTCTGCTTAGACTTCTGTGTCTAAGCTTTGCTATATTCTAAGTAACTTCTATTCTAACAAATCCACACTGAAATTGATGCACAAAGAAAAACCAAATGTTATAACTAAGCATTTAAAAATTTTAAAAAAATTGTTTTCTCTTCCTTCATTGTACTGCTCTACATTTTATTTTGTTAAACATTAATTAAATTATTTTTAAAATTAGCAGTCTTTTTTTCTTCTATGATGAATAGCAGAATGGTGTATCTGTTTGAGAAACATTGATCTTGGAGGTGCATTGAAAATTATGGGTCATGAGGTATTTTCTCACTTTACAAAATTACCTAATCATGAATCCTTAATCAAAAGGATGCAGTTTTTGACAGTACTTTGCCTGTTGTATTGTTTCAGTAAAATTAGATCCAATATTGATAGTAATATTATTCTTTTCATACCTAACTGTAAAGGAATTCTATTTATCTCTACCTTCAGCATTTGAAAACTTAGAGGGTCAGCTAGGAGACCTGGGAAATACAAAACCCATAGACTGCCCAGAAAAGAGTTGACATATTTGCTCAAGGTTGCAGAGGAGCAGTGCTCCTCTGGTGAAAAAGGCAGAGAACACGATTCTCTGTGAACACCTTCAACATCTTTGTTTTCATTTTGTCATTTAATATCCTAGAAACTCTTGCCTCAAACTCTGGCTTCTCTGGCAAGATCCTGTGATTTAATGGATAAATGTTTGGGGTTTTTAAACAATTCTGAGTTATCTTCAGATCCTCCTGGGCTCTGAATAATTTTGTGATCATGTGTTATTTTCTCCTGTATGACTCCTAAATCAAAAGCTAAATCATTTTACATAAGTGCAAAGTCTATTTGCAGGCTGTAAAAACCCACTGCTTCCCAACCGGTTCTCTTTCGCCATCTGTCCCTGTTCTTAACTGATCTCCTTGGATTTCATGCACATATTAGTGTATAGATAATCTTCAATAATTGTACATAAATACCTAGTGCTGCTAGTGGCCTTTATTGTATTTTTCTTTTCCCCATCACTTATCACTTGTTTTGGCTTCTTTTTCTAACCATTCAAAATTTTTTGTCTTTATGCAGTCCAACATTAAATCTGTGTACCTTCAGTTCCTCTTCAGATCTTGCTAATTTTTCCCCTGCCACCTCCTCCAATGGTAGGCTGTTACTTCTTTTACTGAGTCAGTGCTTTCACAGTCCATTGCCAAATTCATGCTAAATCAGTCTCAGGCTCCTTGGTATCACACCTCATCTCTCAGTCTCTGTGCATAAGGGACATAGACATGTCCTTCTTCTTCATTGCTGGCTCTTGCATTCCCATTTTTACCAGGCTCCTAGCTTTCTTCCCTAATCTTCAGGAATCACTCCTCCTCTCCATTTGAAAATCCAAGATACTATTCCATGCCAGAAAACCTCAATAAAGTTACTAGAAAGTGCTGTTCCCTTAATTTTAGTGCCTAGCCCTTGGCATCACCGAGAGGGTGGTTGGGCACTGGAACAGGCTCCCCAAAAAAGTGGTAACAGCACCAGGCCTGACAGAGTTCAAGAAGCATTTGGATGATAGTCTCAGGCACATGATGCGACTCTTCAGAATGACCATGTACAGGGGCAGGAGTTGGACTTGGTCCTTGTGAGTCCCAACTCAGCATATTCTGAGACTGTGTGCTCTGTGATCTCAAAATGGAGTACTGGAGAGTAAATCTCTGAAGGAACCTAATTTCTTTTTGGTAATGGCATATGCACATGAGGACAGCCTCATAAACTGACAGATTGTGCATGTTCAAGGAATTTTGAAGGATTTGAAAGCCTTTGCTCATATGTAAACTGGCCTTTGGTTATATATTAACTAATCTTTTTTTTTCTCCAAGTTAAAAACCTGTCCAGATTTAAACAGATTCTCATAGGTGTGATACAAGGCACATCTTTGGTGCTTCGTGTAATTTTGAGGTTTTAACTCACAAGGCAGGAGTAAGTTTCTCTGTTAAGTGTTTCCAGAACATTTTCTAGCACTGTGTGTGAAAAATAACCTTTTTTTTCCACACAAGTTGATGGGGTTTTTTTCCTGAAACTGCAAAATTTGTTTTACTGAAATTTGGTATAGCTTTCAATCAGACAAGTACCAGTCATCAGTCTTCCCAAATTACCTTGAAAGCCATTTGCAACTGAAAGCAGTGCTTAAACCAGAAATGTTGGGCAGCTTCTGTATTCATGGCTCAACCTCACTTTAGAAACATTAGTGAATAAAGTGTGACTGGAGTTGATAATGTTTCTCATCTGATCTTTGCTCCTACAAAGACCTGCATAACTTTAATCCTCAACAGTGTTCCTCTTGACAGATTACTATATTTACAGAAGGTACTAGTAGTTGTGTAAATATGTTGTACTAATAATTGTGTAATTATTTAGGAGTTCAAAGATTTTTGACATATATTTTCTTTTGAAAAGGTGACTTCAGGATTGAAATTAAATTCATAAAATTACAAATAATGAAAATAACTGTGTCCATGTAGAGTTTTAAGGATTTGTCATGGTCTCTGCACAGAGATTGTGTTGTAAACCTACATACACCAAGATACATTTCAAGCTTTTGTGGGGTAAATAAACTGAAAAACTATATTCTTTTTGTAAGGTATGTCCTTCCACTGTACTTAGTATGCAAGAGTTTATGGATTTCCAGCACTCAGAAAATTCAGTGGAGAAACTGTGCTTGCCAATTCCAGATTAACAAATGGCAAACTGATTTCACTGCTTTAAGAATCTAATGTTTTCATTAGTATTGCAGCATTATTCTATCTCTGGACAAGTTTTAAACATATTTCAAAGCTCCTGCATTTTGAAATATGTGTTACAGGTTTCTTAGTTAACAGTAGCAAGCAGAGTTTTGACCAGAAGGTTATCTGTGGTGGATTTTCTTTCTACGGTGAAGTCTCTCACCCTTTGACTAAAGGAGAAAATAACTCTAATGATCATTTCTTACTCATTTGTTTTCAGTGAACATGATGGGTATTTTCCTTCTTTTCTTGTCAATAGGCAGAGTGGACAATTGGAAAACTGCACTGTCCATTCTGTGAGGCCTGCTTAGTGGGCTTTAACTTTGTTTGCAACAAAAGGTATTTCTGTGGACAGTTAGTAAATATACATTTCTGCAAAACTCAGACTGACTCTCAACCATCTTTCTCTGTTAAATTGTCAAAATCATCAGGAAAACATTAGCCTCAAAAATCAGTCTGGTTTTAGCAAGGATACCTGCCACGAAGTGGTAACTGCAACTTTGCAAATCAAAAGTCAAGGACTTCCCTACATGGCCAGAAATAATAATGGTCCTGGAAAATTAATAGAAGCACTTTGTCTAGAAGTAGAAGCTCCAAGATATGAGATGAAAAGTAAAAAACTTCCCTTAAGGGCATTAAACCAGAACAGAAATCTCTCTTCTTCCTATCCTATAAATGATGCATGCACTGTAAAAACTTTTCACAGAAGATCACGTAGTTTGGATTTACATATCAGAGAGAGACTGTTTTTGTCACCTGTGTTATATGAAACTTGCAGTATGGGAACTATTTACCATGGCCAAAATGAAAACCCACCTGTTTACTCACAGGGTGGCTTGCAATTAGAGTCCAATAGGAAAGTAGTTCTTTTCAGGACCTGTGTAGTTCTAGTGCTGCCAAACTACAAAACCAATTTCAAGTTACATCCTTTACCACATTACTGCACAGAGGAACAGAAAGTGAGTGTGATTTTGGAGCTCGTGGACAACCTTCTGCAAGTATTGTTGCTGATAGGTCACCATTTGTGCTGAAACTTTCTTCACCTATGAGGGCTGTAGAAGACAAAGAGTACCTCACACCTGTTGGTCTTGTGCAGCCTTTGGTATTTCCTTCAACCAAAAACTGAGAAAGAGAGAAAGAAGCAAGTTGAAAAGCCTGAGGAGAAAGCAAAGATGGTGAGAACAATGACTACAGAACCAAGTAGGTGATGAAAATTAATTATGCTACTTTTTTTGGTAAAGTTTGATTTACTTATTCTGACGTTCTTCTTATGCTATCTCTTAATACTATTATAATGTGGAACTGTCCAGAGTCAGGTATCCTGCAAACAAGGATTTATGACCCCTTCCTACATGTATTTTTTTGATAATTGAATCACATTTTTTTCTGTGCAAAATCCAACAACAGTGAGTTGGCCTTCTTATTGTTTTATGATGTAATAATAAATTTGAAGAGGGGGAAAAGGCAGTGAAATACAGTGAAATTTAATCAGATTAAGTGATTAAAGAAAAATTAAACATTTAAATCTTCTAAATGAGAAACTCTAGCATTTCGGTGTTACTAAAGTTTTAACCGATGGCATTTTGAGTTAACTTCACAGTTAAGAATGTTTTAAAAGATGTTTGCATTTATTATTATCGTAACATAAATATTTTTCTGTGACTAAAGATTTGATTGTAGCTACTTAAAATATTAGTCTTTAGTAGGTAAATATTTTGTCTACAAATCTAACATAAAATATTATGTATTCTTACCAACTGTACAACCATAGTTTCCTTCTTTCAACCATCTAAATCAGAACAGAATTAAAGGCCATAGATAGTCATGCAATTTTTGGTGGAAGGCAAAGGAAAAAGGCCACAAATATGTCTCAAAATGCTTAAGACAGTTTTTGTTTTCTCTGAAACTTAGTAGAAAGACTAATGATATATGTGCCTTTAAAAGAAGATTTCTCATCATAAATTTCTGTGTGGTCATCATAAATACTGTGTGATCAGCAAGAGCAAACACACTAATCAGATAAGTAGTATCTATTCAAGAAATTTTTCCTGCTTTGGGTAGGTTTGTCATTGTGAATTCAAGATTAAGAGAGAGAGAGAGTTTGAGGCTGTCTCTCTCTCAATTAAATGTGAGAACCAGCTTGAAAATGTAATGGGTCTGGGACATGCTATGAGACTTTTCAGTATGGTATGCATACTGAAGAGTCTTCATCTTTCATTTTTGAGAAGGGTTTTTGTTTTGCCCAAAGACTTAAATTGACATTGTGGCCTTTTGAACAAAATTTGTTCTTATTTTGTAAAATGCATCTCTGAAGCTGAGAGTAAAGAACATTTCCAAGGTTTGGATGTCTTAATACTGAATACTGGTTTTCTAATAAGTCTAAAGATTCTTAAGTATCTGAGTCCCTAAAGTGGCTATAAAAATTCCAGGCCTAAATGGTGATGCACAAGAACAGTGTACATGAGTATTTGCAAAGTTGTATCATCTACAGTCTCTCAAGACACTTTAACCTTTGTTAGATGTTACTTTCAAGAGTAAAATGTTATACAAAATTTCCAAATTTGTGATACGTAAGAAAGAAAATACTTTCAGCTCTTATTCTTGTTAAAACTTACTTAACCAATTGCTACATTATTTCAGTTATTTACATTACATAGCAAATTATATAGAGTTGTTAAATCTGATAAGACTCATCAGTAAGCGTACGGTTTACAAAGGAAAAAAAAATTAAAATTAGTATGTAAACTAAATGATCTGAGTTTGAATAGTAGTTTTAAGAAGAATGTATTTTGAATTTGCATTGATTTCTTTAACCTTGGTGAGAATCTGCAGTCATGGCATGGAGTATTTAAATGAGTCTACTTCTCAGACTGTGTCAAGCAGCATGTGTGAATAGTGCAGCTGTGTTTCTGATCACTGAGATATCTTCCCAGGAATATGTGAATCTAGAAAATCACATCCTCTGTACAGTCTGATGTGTCGCAAATAGAGATGATCCTCTGCCGCCACACACTCCATTTCGCAGCAGCTCACCTCTGGTGTCAGTATCCTCCCTTTTCTTGCAAGTTCTACTTGCCATTGTTTTTCTTTAGCATGCTAACAATCCTCGTTGTCAAAATGTGCATTTTGTTGCTGTGGTATTTTCAATAGGAAGCTGATCTGTGGTACTTCATAACCATGATTTCTAACATACTTACCATGTATTCTTAAGCAATCAGTAAAACTTCATGAAGAGAAAAAAGCATAAACCTCTGAGGATATGAAGTGAAAGAATTTTGATAAATGACAATTGGAAGTATATAATTTAAACGCTCTTTTAAGATGTACTGATATGAGGTGAATACCTTCTACGCTATTAAAGGTATGGTGCATCTCATTTTTATCTTTAATTAAAGTTTTTCTGGAAAGCAAGCCAAAGAAAGCAGACCTGTTCAGCCTTTGGAATTTCGTTGTTAAATGCATGGGCTGCTCTTCTAAGTTTATTTTGTTATGAGATAACTTACCTGCTAAGGGATTTTTTCTGTCCTTCAGAAAACCAAAGTGTGACCATAAATGTTGTGTTGTGACAAAATGCAACTATTTTATTAAATTGAAGTATATACGCCTTGCATTGTAAATAGGAGCAATTCTGTGAGCTCCTGAACTGCACTTGTCTCCAGAGGCTTGCACTGGTGCAGATTCTGAGGTGTAGGTGCAGACCTGAGCAGCTATCCAACAGCAGAGGGACCCAAGCTTCCTCTGTCTGTTCTGCAAGGGACTGCTCTTAATGCCTGTGAGGGGGATGCTTGCATTTTGTGTGCGTGTGCACATCTGTGTTCATAGGGGATTTTTAGGTTTCTGTTAGGGTATGATTATATTGTTGGTGCATGATAATTATATAAATTCTTAAGGTATGACAATAACTACTTAAGTCTAGGAATTGCCAGTATTAGTAATGGTTCTTGTTATTGTTGCTATAACTAGGAAGATGAAGTATTCCTTTTAAACATTCCATTTTGGGTATATCTTGTTATATATTTACGTTGTTTGTTAATGCATGAAGCTTGTATTAATTTTCTGAAAGATCTCAGACAAAAATACCATTTGTGGCTCTTCCAGTTATATTTCCTTTCTCCTCACAGTCATTTTACGTAGAGGAAGGCTATATAGTCAGCTTCAAAACTGCAATATCCTCTTGGAAATGATCCTGATTCACTGGGGAAAAAAATATTGGCATTTTTTTGCGTCATTTCTTAATGACACTTCACGGGTTCTTTTGTATCTTTTTGAGAACATCAGTGTTTGTCTTACAGAGGTGACTAATGCTTTCTTGGAAACTCAGTTTCCAAGAAGTGAGTTTGTGTTCATGCTCACAGTGTTAATCTGAACTTAGGAGAAACAGGTAAGATACTGCATAGTTTATCCACACTGTCAGGTTCTGTTATCTCAGCCTGCAGCCTTGAGTTTTCATGTCCGTAATCATGTCCTCTAGCAACTGACAGTTTTGTAGTGAAGGTGTTAGGCTTCAAAGGCTTAATTTCTGACCAAAGTTCGCTTAATCTATGCAAGTCTCTTTTTCATGTATAAATTGGTGTACAATTCTTTTTCTTGCATTGTCATGTTTGTATTGAAACTGTAAATGCGTCAAGAGTTTAGTTTTGCATTTATACACTTGGATTTCAGTCACTCTTTCTGTGATGATACTCATTACAAGAATTATCCTCAAACTATTTATGGATTTCTCAACTGGCTGCTGAAGCGCTAAAAGCATTATTTAGTGTTGGCACCAAAGTAAATCAGGAAGGGAATGAGTTGAAATAAAATCACAGCTACAGTAGGCAAGCAGTATCTACAAAGTTTCAGCTGAGACCTTTCTTAGGGAATTATGAGGACCTGGAGGAATACTATATCTTCCTTAAGTGACTTAAAGAGAAATGAAGATTAAATATTAATGTAAAGCTTTTCAACCTGTGAAAGAGGGAAACTCTAATTTCAGAGTTTGAGAACCACTCCTGCTCTTATGTTTAAGGCATTCTTACGTTTAAATCCTTCACTGAGAGCTGATGGTTTCTTTCTATTTACCCCAGAATCTATTTGTGGTCATTTTTGTGTGTTTGGTTACAAATTTCTTTACCTTCGCTCTCTTTTTACTGGTCTCCAGCTTCCTGCTACATCCAAATTACTGTATGCAGTTCCTTTCATGTGAGATACAGTTACTTTTTTCTGTTGGTTCTCCTTGAAACCATTCTGTGCAGGGCCAAGTCTGCATTTCTTTAACAGACCTCTGAAAAATTTCTCAGAGCTGTTGTAGTCTCCAGCGCCAAGCCAGTGCCCCTTTTCATGTGATCCTAGGCTTGTACTCCTCCATGTTGCATCCTGGGTCTCCATTTCTTAATACCTCTGCTGTCTTTAGCAGGCCTGCATTTCTTTACATCACTGTATTACAAATGCAGCTATCTAATTATACATGGAACAGCTGCTGTCAGTGGTTGCACCATACAAAGATAGCAAAGGTAAAACAAATTGGCCAGAGAGACATCTGGTCAGTTAGAAAAATTGGTGTCACAGCTAAATGAAGTAAAACCAAGCAGCAGGTGGGGCAGAGGGAGTTCAGCCAGAGCAACCATGGCCAGCGTCAGCCCTGATGCCTCAGAAGTTCAGTGCTGAGCTTGTAGCTGTTCCTAGAACATAGCATTACAGGGCTATGTAGTTACAAGGAGCAGTATCTGTCTTGACTTGCTGATAAAAGGAGGGGAGAAATTTTGGGCATGAGTTTGTCTTATCTTTGCTTTTGCTCTGGCTGTAACTATTGTTACTGCATGGTGATTTTGTACTTATCACATTAATTCTGTCACTGATTATAAACTGGATTAAGAAGAAGGTAATAAGAGTAATGGATTCATATCCAAATGCATGACTTACCTTTGTTAAATTGCAGCTGTGGTTTCTGTAGCAATTGTATCTGAGTAAAAAAGCGCATCTGCTGGTTTCTGAGATGTGTCTGGAGCTCCTGTTGCAAGTCTTTAAACTCCAGCACTTTTGAGTTTAATTACTTTTAGCTGCACTCTTTTTATGCTGTTATTTGAGATTTCAGCTTTAAAGGTGTTGTCTGACCTGGCCTCTTCTAGTGTTTAATAGGTCTTTTACACAATTTGGTGCTAATAATAACCAGTGGGATAGAGAGCTTTGCAAATT